GTTTTCCATGCCCAATTCGGAGTGGCGTAAACAGAGCGGTGGCCAACCCTTGACTTGGCAGAGGAGTATGAAGGAGATCACGAGACGCTTGGGTGCTGTCGGTGCTACTCGCCTTCCAGGATGGGGACCGCGTGATCCTCACTGTGCCTGGTTGGAGACACTACAAGATATGGCTGCCAACCGATGTCAGTGGCGTTCTTGTTGTCAGTTTCTGTCCAGATTGCCTGAGTGAATGTCTGGAGGTGTAGGCACCTCGGAATGATTGTGTTAAGCTAGCACTAAGTCCCTCCCCGTCCACCCTTATTCTTTTCTTTACAATTAGGCTTCCAAATAAATCATGGTTGTACGGCAGTGAAGTATCGGTGTTGAACACTGATGTCATGCTGTCGATGATGATGATGATGACCTGGTGTGTCCATGAGTAATGAAGGACACTTCTGTTAATGAACTGACTACTCATAAGTAGCTGAAATAAAGTCACGTTTCGCAACTACGCCACATGCTATTTCCTCGCGGAGTCAACTTTGAATTTCTGCTTACGTCAACGTTGGATTTCTGCCTACTGAAGTATGCTCAACATGTAGTGGCTTTTTCAAAGGTGCCATTATAATTCTTGAGGCTCCTGGTAAGAATACCTTTATCATACTGGGGCCAGACGAAGTGATGTGGGGATGTCGCACGTGACCTGTGGAATAAGACGTGTGTTCCATAGTATTCACTTGATTTTCGATTTAATGGGGATGCGATGGCCAGAGCATGGGCTTACTGTAACTATTGGTTTTATTGTCCCTGCGCTGAAAATTCCCCTCCTGTAGTACGGCTGGGATATCGTTATATCTGTAGAGAATTCGCCTATGGGCGATCAGAATTGTTTTGGATTCTCCTTCGTGCACTTTATTAATTGGAAACTTAACATTATGTGTGGTAGTCTTTAATACGCGCTTATGTAGCACTGAAGTTACACATTTAGCCATTTTTGACAGTTGAGGTTCAACCCACCCTTCGCTTGTGGATCAGAATATATTCTAACACGAAATTAGTTGTAAAACGTGCATGAAACTGTGTCGCACATTTCGAGAGTAAGCGTGAGTCCTGCTCATGTATGATCACCCAGCTGCATACAGCGGCTGCTGGTGGAGTATTGTCATCATGCTTGTCCAGCAAGTCACGTGTTCGGCGTTCAGTTCCATACATGGCCAAGAATAAGCACTGTTCAAACCACAACAGTACTGTGTTCCTCTCGATTTGGCATGGAATGATCAGAGTATTCATCTCGAAGCTGATTCTACAGGCTCCATGTAAGCTCATCCATATTTTACAGCTGTCTCCGTGTTGAGGGAAAAAGCTGGCCTAAAGTGAAATAGAAAACAAATGTTCACAGCAAGGGGCCAGAAAGTTACCATCTTGGCCACGAGCCGCTTGGCCAAGATTTCTCCTCAAGGATGCGTCTAAAGTTGTTCCACTGAGCAACTGTCTGAGATCGTTTCACTTAATACGTGATTATTTGTCCAGCAGAATTTCCTCGTGTCCGACTTTGACGCGCCTTGCGTACACTTAAACGATTTGGTCAGGCCAGCAGTGCGCGCGGCAAGTGACAGTGGACGAATCTGTCCCGCAAAATGATGTGACGAACCGGTTGTGAGGTGCATAAGTGTGATCAACTGACCGTCTTATTGGCTCAGTCGGTAGAGCGCCCGTCCAGTGAGCTTGTGGTTGGTTATGTGAGTCCACCCCAGGTATGTTAATTCTATGTGTAGTTGGATGCATCATTACAAAGTCTAGTTCTGCCTAATATGACAGAGCACCCTTCAGCCGATGCTGTACCCACCCAATCCTGTCCGAGTGCCAAACTATAGGACGTTGATCTTTTGACTAATATGTATGAACATTACTCTGAGTTGACTAAATACTGACGGTGCAACAGTAGTGTAAACCGCAATATGATGGGATGGTGAGCAGTTTTGGACAGTAATTTTATTTGTTGAGTGCTGAGAAATGGCAGTCATGCATTTCCCACCAGTCCTAAATGTTACAGCATATTCTAACTAAAAAAAATTGCCCTGACAGGAGATTCGAAAAGAAGTTCCACAAAATTTTCAACATACTTTCTGTAACCTCCGTTTCAGTAGCCGTTAAGTTAAAACCAAGGTAGCTGGACTAATGGAAGGAGGGTTGTTGGATGTGAGTTGTCGCACTTATTGAAGTGACACACCTATTACAGCCAAAAATAAATTGCAATTTCTCGAAAGAAGTGTTTTGTTCTTCATTTTGATTATGAAGTCTCAAGGTTTCGGACCATTATAGTTCGATGCAGGCATTCGTATCACTGTGGGCATTTCCTCCTATATTGGTTTCCAAAGTCAAAATGCCAACCAATAACAGGCCCCAGAGTACCAGGTGGATAGGATGTAGATTCAGTCCTCTCCATGTAAAGTACTGTACTCTAACCTTCCAATGTACGGACACTCTCTCCAACATACCCTGTTCCAACCTCTGGATCGGCTCCTTCAGATAACACCTCACAATGGCCACTCAACCTAATGCGTGCAGAAATATCCGGCAACCTTGTGAGTAATATTCTGCTAATTAGTCTGTTGTTCAGTTCACTATCACCCACGCCATTTGACACATGATATTTTCCTTTGCTTTTGATAATGTCTCATATTCACCCCACTTCCGTGGCCTAGTGGTCTAGGGGTCGGCTCCTTCAGATAACAGCTCACAATGGCCACTCAACCTAATGCGTGCAGAAATATCCGGCAACCTTGTGAGTAATATTCTGCTAATTAGTCTGTTGTTCAGTTCACTATCACCCACGCCATTTGACACATGATATTTTCCTTTGGTTTCGATAATGTTTCATATTCACCCCACTTCCGTGGCCTAGTGGTCTAGGGGTATGATACTCGCTTTGGGTGTGAGTGGTCCCGGGTTCAAACCCCGGCTAGGCCCCTTTTCCGCCTAGAGCNAGAGCAGAGTGGCTTGTAGGGGTTAGGTTTCCCCCGACTGATTAGGTATAGGTATGCCCTCCCCAGGGGCTTCACTAAACCTTCATTATCTCGTACCGGCATGTACCTTGGTGAGCCCGGTATGTTGTAAACTCCATGACGCGTTCGTCTGCTTAATAGATAAATCTGGGTTTGTCTGAATGTTTTATTTGTAGACGCTGGAACCATAGAGAGTTGAATTAAGCGCTTTGGAAGTTTTGGAAGCCATAACGTGTGTATATTCTCTAGAACTGTTATAGGTTTTTGTAGTTTGGAGGGAATTCGTCAAAGGTGACGACCAGTGTCTTATTTAATTAACATAGTTACTGACAGTGTTGTTAGTAGTGTAAACTGATTTTGAGAATAGGGTATGGGAACTTTTTGGTGACATGAAAGCCCGGAATACACACACCTGATCACAGAAGCCTTAGATGAATCCAGCTACATCTTCCATTTATGATCTTTGTTCAATAAAGTCAAGATGTTTTGTCAATGGTAGTATTCTGGCATAACTGTGAATCCCAAATCTAAAATGTGTGAAGTTCACTTTCCGAAAGATCCCACCACTTGTGAGATGCGATTTTAACTTTTTGGATGGATGGATGATATTCACTTGCCTCCCGAAGTAACATGGTCCGAAAGCATACAATTTGCTCCATATACGTCTGTGCAAATGTGCTTGGAGTAAGAATTAAAGGAAGTATACGTGGAAGGTTAAATCGGGGTTAGATCACAATCTGGTGCTTTGAAATCTCGTAGGGGGTCTAAAGGTAGCGTTCATTACTCTGTGGATGTTCTCCAGTGAAATGGCAGATTTCGTGTGCCCACTGGAAAAATAAGGGGTGAAATCTAACCGATGAAAGCGTGCGGAAATCTTTCGTGTATAGCTCAGTGTCTATGATCTGCCTTGACTTTGTACTGAATACTAACAGTATTTTGCACATTATATTAAAATAATATTCGGTTGTGTTTCCTGTTTCTAAACAAATATTGATCCAGACACAGTGAGACTTCGGAAGAGACTTCAAACCGAAGAGAAAACCCTTCAAGGAGGGCCAAGAAGGTTGCTGCCAACAACCTTGTGAGTAGTTTTTTTCATAAAAACACAGGGACACGTTTATCGAAATCAATTGGTAATGTTTTCTCATTAGAAAGCGAGTGAGGTGTATCTTGATCGTATGGGTAAGTGTAGTTCTTTTGAAGGGATGACTCAAAAGGACGGAGAAAAAATGACCTATCTTGGTAGGTGACTCTGTTAATGCTCTAAGAGGTCCCGAGAGCTAGTTATACAAACAAGAAAACTGCGAGCATTAACAATATCAGCTTGTTGAGGGAAAGTTATTACAATAGTGTAAAAATGAATAAAGGGACTTATCGTATTGCCGATTCGAGTTGATAAATCCTTTTGTGAGTACGGATGCAGGTTTCGTGTTTTCTGCGCCGTTGTAGTGGCCACACGTTGTCCTGAATATCCGTGAGTGAGGCGTTGTAAGTCCCAAGCGGCTCTACTGCGAGTTGGGTGACGTGCGAAGCTGCGTTGAGTTATGTCGTATTGTTGTGGTGTTGTCCTATATGTAGGAACGTCTGTGTGTGTGTGGGTGTCAGCACAAGGCTTGTTGCTACCGTATCAGACGGTAGACAGTCGATATCGGATGAGTCACCCTTGTGTATCGTGGTTCACATGACTTGTTGCTACCGTATTAGACGGTAGACAGCCGATATCGGATGAGTCACCACTGTGTATCGTGGTTGGTACGTGTAGGAAAAAAACGAGGTCTTGGGATCTAGGGCTTGATTGTGAGCTGTGTAGTCAAGTGAGTCACGGTTGTATGGCTTGATTTGTGAGTGCAAGGCAAAAAGATAGATCTCGTGATCCAGCGGGTGGCGGTGACCTTTACAGTCATGTATGTGGCGAAAGGGTAGCTACAACTCTTCCTCGGGGAGACGAGAAGTTGAAAGATCTCTCTATGGAAACTGTCGACACTGGCCCTTTGTGGCGGCAGTAAAATTTAGAGATATCTTTGAAGACAGTGCTGAAACATCGCGGATTTAAATATGGAGACCCGAGAGAAATGACAAATCACCAGAAAAGACTTTTCGGCCATTTTTTTCATCGCGGGTCTTCCTGGGAGGTTTCACACTGCGGTGTTCACGTATTCACTGGATTCAACAAAGGAGCTTGCCTTGTAAATTGAGCAAAAGGCTTCAACTGTAGCTGGATTAAAACGATAACACGAGTGAACCTTTCCGAAGAATAGGTTTTTCCGACCAGATTGAATCTACTGTAATTTGGTAAGTCATTTGACACGTTAGCAATGAGTATAGATTTTAATTATGTTCATAACACTGGACAGTATGACTGAAAACCAGACTTCGGCATGAGTAACTAGTCACATCAAATCTCTGTGATCGAATCCTTTCATGATCTCATATACGAAATCCCGCCCTTCTGTAGAGACCACAATCACCTGTTACTTCTGTGCCCTAAGGTCATCTAGCCGGCATTTTCTTCCCAGCTGTCCTAATTCATCGAACAATAGCTTTGGAGCTTTTCGTTAGCTGCTACTTTAATCTCTCACTAATGCATAGCTGAACGTTTAAAACTGCACACTTGCATAATCTGGAGAGAAATGATTAAAACTATATGTTGGCCAAACCGTATACTCTCTGTCGCTGAAAATGAACTTGGATAGCCGTGAATTGTAGCCAAAAATTAAGGGGAGAATAACCTCAAGGTGGACCAAGAGGCATGTGGATTTCAATAATCAGAGGAATTTCGCAGGCACTCTGGGACCTTTGAACTGCCAACGGACTGGCTCTCTACGTCCGCTGAATGCGTTTGGTCAGGTGAGCACTATCATTGATCGACAGTGGTTTAAACGCGGCTATTTAAGAGTCAGAGACTGACCTGACCGGTTGAACGGGTAAAATATTGCACTCATCAGTCCGCACTGCAAACAGCAGCAGTAATTAGCATACTAACTCTTTTACCAAACACAATGGTCCGGTTCCATCATTTTGGACTGGATCAATTCACTCTATGAATGAGATGTGACAGTCCGTCCACTGAGCTTTTCCGGTGCAGCTAACGAGAACGCATAGATAATATTGCCAAAAAGACAGAAAATGGATTACAGGACGAACTTATGTGCTGACGATCCGAACTTTGCAGACTTGTTTTCGGGTCTTACGAACTCAGCAAACGTTGGTCATCCTAAAGATGAAACAGACGATGTAAGTATCGTGAATGTATCCAACTCAGATGAACGCATTAGTATCAGTCCAGAGCCAATCATAACCTACTCACCAGATGGGAAAAAAGGATGGATTAGTATCCAACAGGAAATTACCTACGAGGTTCCATGTGTGCCTGAGGTGGATGGTTGTGGATGTCCCCCACTGGAACGTACCCAGTTGGCCTATCGGTTTGAGGCTGAGGACTCAAGGTCATCTATACCGACAGATAGTTGGAAACTGATGCATGCTTCGTCTGAAGACAAGCTCCACAAGGTCTACACCTGCAGTCAGTCTGTAGATGTATGCCGACCGCAGGTAAAAAGTGTTCAAGGAGGGCGAAATCGATTGCAGCAATTTAGACTTCATGCAACATCTATGGAGAGAAAATGCTGCTGTGCACACAAAGGGCATGAAAACAGGCCAGAAAAGCTTAATGTGACTGAGTTGAAAAGACCTTGTTCAGTAACAACTGCTAATTTTGTTCAGGACATCTCAGCAGTCGACTATGAAAAAGAGGCAAATGTCGACCTAGCTGCGGAAACGGGAACTTATGAGGCCAGTCAGGACCATTTCTTAGTTCAAGACAAGAAAACTTCTGGGCTGAAAGCTTTAAGATCATCTAGAGGGAATGAAGAAGACCAGGTGGGTGTAGCAAATAAGTTCATTAAGAATATTGCGCCCTGTCCCATGGAGGTACTAGGGAATGCTACAGACCGGGAAGGTGCAGCTGTCCAACCATTACTACTGTCGGATAGGATTTTGACCGGAACGCATTCAGACTCAGATGCTGCTCTACAACCTCCTGTTTCTTCCCGTATTCCCTGTGGACAAACCGGAACGCACAAACCTATTACAGACTCTCCAAAAAGTTTCACACCAACATATCCGGTACAAACTGAGGAGGAAATAAGGGAAACCGGAACAGCGACACAATCAAATATACCAACCATCAGAATCAACGATGGTGGAGAGCTTCCGGCAGAGACGACGTCGTTTTTGACAGTACCGATGAGAACTGACGTTATGGAAAATCGGAACACAAGAGTGCCAAGCGTACCAGGAAATCCTGGTATAGAGGACCCATTATTGTTGAGTAGCGTAGAGAATCTTGTATCGGGCAAGGGGATCAGAGCCACCGGACACGACACGTCTAAAGAACTCATCACTACGCAAGTAGATGAACGCACAAGTGGGGTGTTAGATCAGTCGAGTGTTATAGCTTCAGAACAGAGCCAACTCCAGCAAACATTCTCAGAATCTGTATCACCTGGCTCAGTTATTCAAAACAACCTAGCCAGTGGGGCAACAGAAACTCATCCGAACAGTCAGAATGGTAACATTCTATCAGAAAGTGACTCCAGCCCAAGGGTACAAGATGCAATTGGGCTTGAAGTAGATTTATCGCAGATCTCGGATAGAAAGGAAAGTACGAATATCACTCAACAGTTCGATCCGCCAAATCAAAGGGGACTGATCGAAGGGAAGAATACACCATTGGAACCAGACACAGAAATTGGTACAATCACTAATTCTAAGGTCTCGCCTACCAGACGACAAGCTCAGGGACTCAGAAGCTCACAGGTTCTCACTAGTGAGTCTGACACAATCGATGATGTTAGAAAACGGCTGAACTATATGGTGAAAGGTCATTTCAGACTGGATCGACCGGAGTCCCCATCAACTATTGATGTACCAAGTGAGTCGTTAACCGAAAATAGAATATTATCAACAACAAGGGTAAAAACCAGTGAAAAGTTGGGTGGGCATTTTTCAAAAGAGATCCCACACCTTGACAATCGGGAGAATATGGAGGTGGTAGTCGAATCTGAACAAGCTGCTCCAATGAAAGAACAGCTGCAGGTGACTGGAATAGAACCAATTACGAATAGTACAATAAATGCTTCAGTAAAGCGGAATATCAATAACCAACCGGCTGTTAGCACAAAGGATTTCACCTCGGTACAACAGAGCATTACAAAAGAACCGCAGTACGAAGCAGACCTACAACAGAAGCAGGTTACAAAAATGGATCTGACAGATCTGATTAATGCAACACATAAAGCCACTCATGAGCAGATTCGACCGCCTCCTAAGCAGTCAGAATCATACGATACAAGCAAAGAAAAGTCTCCAACGCCGGCTGGATGTGATGAACAGGCGGCACCCAGGGCTACTTCACAAGAAGTGTTGGACCTCCAACGAGCCAGTCAAACAGACGCAATCAATCCATCGAAGAACGACGTAGCTGTTGAAGGTAATTTACCACACATCACTCGTACAGAATCAAATCAGTTGGAGTCTCACATTCAGATGACTGTGGTCACCGATTTCTCATTACCCAGAGACATAAAAGCAGACCCAACTTATCATGTACAACAGAGTAGCGCGGTTCCGACGCACCCTGATGAAAATATACTTCGGATAACACGAGGACTAAGTAAGCCGCAGGTTGCAGTGCTTCATGAGCCCTCCCCAGAAGAGAAATTACACGACACATTACGTCCCATGAAACGATCAGCGTTAGTTGAGGAACAGTATAGAAAATATGACTCAATCAGCACCACAGAAGGAGCTACAAAACAGGAAGGCAATGTGATACACTCCGAACATTTGCAAATACCACTCGGAAATCATACCAGAGAGTATGAGGCAAGACAAGCCAAACCAATTTCACAAAAGAATGTTGATGTGTGTTCCTCAAGTGCACTAGAATCGCCCAATGGGATACAGGTCCCCCCTTTTATTCCTCAGCAAAATAAGCTGTTGACACACGACACCGAATCGTGTAAGTCTACTTCTCATGCAACAAGGAGTACTTACTCCTCACAAACTCAGTCACCATTTAAACAGGCGATAACACAGTCTACATTTGACGCCATTAAGGTGGCAAAAGGTCTCACAGGTAACACATCCAGACCTAACACACATGAACGCAATCCATTGGAACAGGTCATTGGGACGATCGAACACCCTGCACAGGTACTGCGCGAAGGAGCAAATGCACAGATGGAACAAACAGAACTGATACCCACACAACGAGCGTCGATTGCAAGCAAGCGTCAGGAAGAACCGGAAGCAGAAGAAGGAAGAGAAACAACTTGCGACCGAATTTGGCCAACTCGTGCAATGTTAGAGCAACAACAAACAGCAGTGACACTAACCGTATCAAGATTCCAACCAGCGGTAGAGCTAGACACACCAATCACTCCCGTGACAGGAATAAACGTTGATAGTAGTGAACTGCATCCGGCTATAAGTCTGTTAGAAGAGGCAAATGTCACCAACTACCTCGCCCTAATCTCGATCAACCGACCTGAGATGACCGACCAGTCCATTCTGCCACGACAGAGCAATAGCACATCTCTATCTACAAGTGAAACACACAATATCAGTAAACCAAATGTTGCAGCGTTTTATGAACCGACTAATGCAGAAAAGCAGCTGGATACGAGGAGTCCCTCAATGATCGGAAAACTAGATCAAGAAGAAAGCATGGATTCAAAAGGTAGAGAAAAAGATACGCATAACTTAAATGAATCGATAAGCATAGATACAGGAAAGAACCAAATAAATCCAGACTTCCCACAAACTACCGATTGCTCTGATGAAAAATCCGGTCAGAATGACCTCAGTGTCGAACGGTCGTCGGTTGCCAAGTCACTCCCCCTAGTACCAAAACTCCTGGATGAAATGCAGGTGTCAGAGAGGGAGGCTAAAATAAACGAAGCTCAAGGTCTACAGATTCAAGCTGAAATGCTTATCTCAAGACTGTCAACACCTTCGAACATCGCTTGGGATCTGGATAAACTCTCTAGGGAAAAGGAAGAAAGTTCTCAAACGAGTGGTGAGCCTAATACGACGGGCAAGGGATACTCACAAAAAGACATGATATTACAACAAATTATGCAGAACAGCTCAGTCATTCCATCGGAGGACGATGAACTGAGTAGACTGGATATCAGTGTGCTTCATGAGCTCGTATCAGTGGAAAAAGTACAAGGCATCAAAAATTCCGCAAAAATGTCTACCCAGGTCAAAGTAGGACATAGAGAATGCTGTCCACCTAGCGTTACAGAAACGGGAAGAGTGCGTGAAACTAGCAAAGAGATGAGGGGAATTGTGGGGCACACCAGAGTCATACATGACCATCATTATGATTCCACAGGGAATACAGTCGGAGAGAACAAGGTGAGACAAACCGAACAAATCCCATCGACATTTTTCGATGTTGATGTCTCCTTGGAGATCAGAATGCTTTCAGGACCATCAGATTCATCGGATAATGATCCAACTTCAAGAACGACTTTCCAACAATCAGAAACGTGGAAGCCAGAGACCAAATCGGTGAGCAGCGTTTTGCAATCAAAGAACTTTATCGTCAGTACTGCGGACTTTGGGGAAACAGATGAAGTGACCAATCGGCCAGTCCAAACAACACTTGAGATGCACCACATCAGTGCACAAGAAATGGAGATCACGGGCACGTCAGTAACTCAATCAGGGCCTGAGCGCACAATGCCCCAAGATATTCCGGTTATCACTAAGTCAGCAAGTGGTATTTCCGGCATTGTATCCAAGGCCGATATGACTGAACACTGTCCTGTAGATCGGCTTATCGAAACGATTGAGAATTCTGGTAGAGGCGTCGATCTACCGACACAGAGTGTGGATCAGTCAGATCTGATAACCACACAACGGTCACCAACCGCTTGCATACATGGGGAAAAAACGGAAGCAGTTGAGGAATACGATGACAGTTACCAGTGGGTTCGACCGGTGGATGCATTCTTACAACAAACGTACGTAGCTGGAGAACCAACAGGACCGGAGTTCCGACCAGAAATAGAGACAGACACATCAGACTGGCCTGAAACGAGACCGGCTCTTGACAGAAGTTTATCAAGTCCCCCCATCATCCGATTAGACGAAGAAACGAGTGTCATCGGGTGTCTCGTTCTAAGCCCAACAAACCGACATGAGATGACAAATCAACCGGTTCCTCCAGGACGAAGACACAGTACAACGGCGTCGTTTATGAGGAATGGCCAACTCAATAAAATACAAAACAGTAAAATACAAGACATGCCTGTTTATGAACAAGATAAAGACAAGATGCAATCAGCAAGCAAAAATCTTACCAAAGAAGGAAAGTTAGACCAGAAAGATCACCCAGGTGTGCTTAGCCCAAATAGATTGGAGGAAATGGATGTGGAATGGAACAAAATACATGCACACGATCACCACGAACTACTTTTGGGAGATTTAAGTGACAGAGATACAAAGGAGATTTTCAATGAGTACAGCTTGAAGGAGGACCGCGGCGGGATATCCGAACAAAAATCGCCAGACCACACAGTTCTCCATCAGCCAGTGATCGACAAACGGCGTCTCAGTTCAGAAAAGTCAGTCGATGAAATGCAGTCATCGGAGACGATGACTCACGAAACCAAAGAAGTCAAGGGTTCCTTCATGGAAAGTACAATACTCGTCCAGCAACCAATAACACATCCTGTTGCCGTATACTGTTCCCCTAAGTCTGACACAAAAGTTATAGAATGTTCCTTAATCTCAGATAAGTCTGACCAACAGAAGATGCTCTCGAGCTTCCCGCAAAATGAACTAGAACCCCAAGGAGCTGTTCAGGAAGAAACTATTGTTAAATCTACACCTGAAAAGGTTGTTAAAATGAGTCTACTGCACTCCAGTTGTACACCAAAGGACATGTCAGCCTCTGGTAAAGCTATTCCAATCAGTTTTACCGAGCTCATTGTTACTGTACGCGATCAGTCAGAAGAGGTTATTGAAACGACAGAATTCCCTAGCGGAATGTCACGCGAAGAAATTGAGGCAAACGGGTGCATATGGCTATCCCTACAGGACAACAGTATGACACTGGCACACTCTGTTACCATCCTAGGTGTGATACTGAGCAATATCGATGAACAAGTTGTAGTAAGGCAGTTTGTCAGAGGATCGCCAGATATGAAAGTGTTCAAATCGGTTCAAGGGGAACCTGGAACAAACGTTGAAGGAGTGTATGATGTACAGGATACCACAGAGATAGGACAAGCTGAAAAATCTGATATTCATGTTGAAAAAGTAACAGGAAAGACTAGCAATAAGTACGACAGACTTTATACTGATTTGTCCAATAAACTACCAGGAAAGCCTGTTGGAGAGAATAACGTGGAGGAAGGTGGACAAATCCCCATCGTTCCCGTCGAAGTCCATATTTCTTTGAAACAGGAGATGGTCTCAGATGCGAAATCTTATGATAATAGTCAAGCTCCGAAAACTACCAAACCACAAACTGAAAGAATTGAACTGAAGTCAAAATTAAGAAAGCGTGTCCTGAATGTTACCCAACTCCATGCTGATACAACTAACGTGGGAAAGATAGAAGAGAAACATGATCGGGCTGTTCGAACAACACTTAGAATGCACCTCACTAGTACACGAGAAAATAGGAAAACAGGTACCTCAAAGATTCAAACAGAATCTGAGCGAATGAGACAACAAGATACGCCGGTCTCCAATGGACGGCTACAGGACACAGGCGGTCGATCAGAACGGACTATCAAAACGATTCAGCCTAATACCATATCAAATGGAGGGCCTCGGATTATTGAGCATTCAGTGAATGACAGTTTAGGGTTACCGACTGATTCTGGTGCCGACGCAGATACGAAATGGAAAGGCGCTGGCACACCAGTGGAAAGTTCACGGAGGAGAATTCCACCCATAAATACGCCGAAGTTCACCCAAGAAGCGAACAACGGAGAATACGACCAAATGAACACCACTACAGCGAAAAGAGCAGACATAGCTGGTGGTCACAAACACAGAATCGACGTACAGTCTAGTTTTCGAGGTAGCAGATCCTATTCTGGTCGGTTTACTGATCCTTCAGATAAGATTGTAAAAGATCAGAATGTAGTGCGTGCTGAACACAGTGGCAGAAACAGCGAGGCTTCTCCGATTCCAACAAGGTCTGATGTGCCGTTGCAATATAAGGTGGCCTCGACTGGAGCACAATCAACAGACAGAGCTCACGTTTCAAAAACGACTCCCCAACAAATAAAAAATACGGAATCCAAGGGTGAATCAAGAAATCTTTTGGAGCAACCTCCCTTCCATACGAACTTCGGCAGGGAGGCTGGAGAACTTGATCGATCATCTGTGCTAGGCATTAGCGCTAAACGTGAAAAACTAAAACGTTATGATAGGGACCAAGAAAGTCCCACGAAAATAGGAGTAGAACGATACCAGGAGATTGTTTGTCCCTCCTGTGGTGGAGTTATTCAGCGGTTAACTAGTCATGACGGTACACAGCAGTATCCCAAGCATTATGAAATGACGGAAAGGATTCATGAATTTCAGATGCCCGTGAAAGTTCCGTACGACCAAAAAGCACCTACCTCTCCGTTTGAGAAACCAGACACTTCTGGCACCGACATCCTTTCTGAGAACCTGTTTCATCCAGAATTCCTCCCACTCTTGAAAACATCTGGAAAAGACTTGGATCAAGCACTGTATGCAGCGCCGAATTATCTCCCACCTCGAGAAATGAAACCCGTTTTAGAGTGCCACTCAGAGGAGCAAACCACGGTATCAGAATTCAACAAAGTTAGGCTTGATCAAGACGAAAAACAAAACGGAAAGGTGATTTCACCCTCACATCTAGATGTAACCTCGCCAGAACCCACTAAATCGGAAGCTTCGAAATCGGCCTCTTCGACAACGGCGTCAATCTTTAACTGTGTTCCTAGGAGCAGAACAACGACCAGCTGGCTAGCTTCGTCGACACCGAATGCGAAGACTCAGTCAGGCAAATTTGCTCACTCGATGCTATCGAAGTTAAGAAAGATGGGCGTTAAAGTAAGTGATAAAAGGCCGCCTCATTCTGAAGACGGAGAATCCTTCATAACATCCAAAGAACAAGCGATTTTCGAAGGCAAAACTTCTCCCATAACGCCTCCTAGCTCAATTTCGCAAGCAGGAGAAACACAGAGTAGAGTTAGTCAAAGTCCGCTAACATCAGCCGTGACCGCAGAAGAAAAGGGAAGTATAAATGGCATGACAGTTATCAAACGCGGTATCTCCTCTCATTTGGATGAGTCGCTAAAAGTTTCCAGCGAGCAACCAACCTGTGGTGGGGTACATCAACAAAGTCTGACTTGTGAGTCATTGAAAGATTCACTATCTCGAAGCAGTTCGGTTCCAATCTTTTCTGTAGATGACCCAAAAGCTCATCAAATGTCAACCGGGATTACTCCGACAGAGCAAGAATTGGGCAACCGGGGTTCGGATCCCGATGACTTCGGCTCATTATCAAACATCAAACCTCATGATTTGAGTATGCCGTCTTCATTCGGTAGAGTATCACTCGTGCATGGTGCTCAAGACCGTGCACAAGAAAATCCCTCTTTTACACCATCATGGAGCAAACAAGCAAAATATACCTGCGACAGAAAAGCATACGTGGACTTTGCTGAAGAACAGAAAACTACAGCGAACCCCTTGGTAGACAAAGTCGTATCTTTCTCTTGCGTCGTAGAACGTAACAATACACAAGTATCTATTCCCAACAAGAATTCTCCCACTCATAACACCAAAGAGCAGCCCTTTGAACATTTTCTCCCAAAACAGTTTACGAACTCTGTTACGTCAAAAGACAGATATGAGCCCAGGCTAACGGAGCTCACTCATGGGGCCGCTGAGGAACCCAGGCCAGACTGTACGGGAACCCACATTATAAGTCAAACGGAAGGGATAACAGAGGGGAAAGCAGTAGAACTTCACGCTATTGAGTCACAGTGGTGTTTGTTTGAAACGCAACCTCGTGACCTCGAAGCCGACGATGCATCGCGACCCCTTGAGTACATCTCTTCTGTCTCAGAAAAGCCTACTGACCGACCACAAGATGTATTCACTTTGTCCGACAGTTCACACAAGGATCAGGAACGAGCTCGTTCAACGAAAATTTGGCACACAGTTCATAAGACGCCGAAGGAGCAAAAGTGTGCTCCGTCTGCCAGCACTCCGCTATTTGTACCAGCCAGTATGAGGATCAAGCGGTTGGCTGCTGAAGAGTCTTCCGACGACCAAACATATAGGTCTAATGGCAAAGTAAGCCCAGGATATCCGAGTGAAATGGCTATTCAGAAAGACGTCATTCTTGCGAACGTTGATTATCCAAGTTCATGTTCTGACTTCTCACATGACCATGGTGAGTCCCGTTTGCAGCTTTGCCTGGAACCCGAACCTGGCCGTAGTAGTCATCAAGTTTCAGGTGATTCTCCTCTACAGAACAGCGAAAAGCCAAGCTCGAATCCAGACCCCGTCGATGATTTCGAAGTCAGCACCATGTCTGTTGCTTACAGTCCATGGGTTTCAAGCGAATCCGAAAGTTCCCCACCACAACTTCACTCGGGAACTGCATGTGTGTCTCCGTTTTGCGAAAATCTTCCGGTGGATTCTGACAATATCACGAAGCTTCGGCGATCACTTCGAATGAAACTTGCCCCAGATGAAATGATACAGAGACCACATAGCACAATACTTTACGAGGGAAGAGAATACGACGAGACGGGCAGGGTTCTGAACACCGTAGAATGTGTGGGTTGTGGAGGCTTGTGTACTAGGGGATTACGTTCGCCTATAAAAGAACAGCCCAAGTTTGAAATGCATCAGCGTAAGTTACCCGAGCCAAAATCCCAGAGAACATGTTTATGCGGTCGATCAAAGCCCCAACAACAGATTACTCAAAGAAAAGCCTATGCTAACAAACCGAAATACATCAAAACTTGCGCAGTATGTTTGAACGATATGACTGTTGGTGCTTTTCAAATGCCTGCTTGGAACATGAAATCTCCCAGCCCTCTTGTTTATCGAGCTCAGTGTTTGCATGATCACGATGAAATAGACACGGTTGAACCGCGGTGTAGAAACCAGGGAAGGCAGAAAGCGGACACCGTTTCGCAAAACTGTCCGTGTCATCACATGTACTACAATCGTACCAACAGAGCTTTGCACCACATGCCACAAATAGAATACCTTACAGATAACTTTTTCCCAGCCACAAGAATCCCGCTCTGTAAGCACAAGAAACCGATCAACGCGGAGCGGATAGAACCGCTGCCACCGATTACGAAAGCCCACACTATGCTACCCTCCTCAAAACAAAAACATATATTTGGAAAAGAGGCTCGATTTCAGGACTGATAACAAGTGTACAGTTTGGAAGGCGATGGACATGGAAAGGTCACACATTGCAATTACTATTACGAAGGATGAAACGTGTACACGAAGACCAGATGCACTACACAGAGACACAAATGACCCAATGATTTCTAGATTGCTTTTGTTCGGCCTCTGCGAACAATGGTTTCAACAGTTCTACTGTCCTTATTTACCCTCTTGCTTCCCGCTATCAGAGCGGCTCCTGGTAAACTCTTTGTTTGGAAGATATTCTTATGATAAACTGAGTTTGTCACCTGACACAGTGCTGTGAGGTCGTTCGTTGGTTCCCAGGGTATGTTTGCAAAATCAGTTTCCATTTACGACACTCTACTGTAGCTCAAGTTTTATTGACGACCGAGGTGAATAATTTGGTTTCAAACGTTTTACCATCAGTCGAGCTGGCATCATCGTTGCGTTGAGGTTGAAGGGCCTGATTGATATAGGGTCAAACCTCGAAAGAGTTCCACCCATAACGCACCGATGTCTCCCCGACTGTTGATAAAAGGTCCGCTCAGCGAACAAACCAACGGCCACACAACTGGAATGGGAAGATAAACTCACTTTAAAAATGTTCCTCGTTCGTATCGTTTTTGGAGAATACTGAGCTCCCAATAGTGTTCGGAAAAAACAAAGAGCGTTATGCGGCAAATTCTTCGGGAACGGTCATTCAAAGTTTGGACCAGCAGCTTATTTTACCTTAATGGGAGAGAGTGGAGAGACAAGCACGTGTATCACACCCTAGCCAACTAAATTTTACCTACATTTGCAGAGTTGCGCTCCCACCTTTCTATTCCGCATCAAAGGGGCGGCTTACCCGCCCCACCCTCGAAGGGCTTGTATGACCCTATCTGCAACCCTTGGCACGCACAAGACAATGCGTTGCGCGCTATTACAGAGACGCAAGTGGATAACTGTCAGTGGTTTTCTGTTCACTGCGACCGTCTTGAAATGGACAGCTTTGAAATTACGGTTCTTGAGACATGTCAAACTGAATCGGTTCAATTCAGGTTTCCGTTCCTCCTCTCAATGTAAGAATCAAATCCATTTTTAATTTTTCTAGTCGAAGGTAAACAACATCGATCTAGACTGTCAACTACGAAAACCGCACTCACTGTTTTTTTGAGCCCAGATATATATGTTTTCTCCGTCAAGATGTCCAGGTATTTAAGTAGATGCTATCTTAAAATCCATAAGAAGACCGAAAAGAAACCTCAAAGTGATCCGAGGTGAAATTAAGTCTGGAGGGGTGCCACTGAGGACATGTTAACTTCACGCCAAGTCATCGTGAAAGGCCTGTCGGGAAAACGCAAAGCCTCTATCGCGGCATTTTGAGGACCTTATGAAAAACTTCTCGGCATCACCCCGCAGAAGAGATATGGCAAGACTAACCGGCTCCGCCGACGAACTGAACCTTCGAGGCCTTGTATGTCCCATGTAATTATATGAAACTTACCTCCCCTTCGACGTCAAATACCAACGAGCGATGCCTTTCGAGATCCATTGTTCTGTTACTTTCTGGAAAAGCTGTAACCAGGTTATCTTTCCGAAGCACTGAGAAACTGCATGTGTCCACAAGTAGTTACTTGGGTCTAGTCTTGAGCCAGATGAGCAACGTTAGGTACTTTGATGTCCCAAAAGAATTACTAGTGTATAATAATTTTCAACTGAATGCGTGCACACAGGTCACCTCATGTTTCAGATGGAAGCAATATCAAAGTACTTTTCTTAACATAACACTACTTATAAAGCTGCTGAGAATTCTTCGACAGCCCACTATTGGTTCTGCTTTTCCTGTAAATCTCCAGATGGTCGGGTTCATTCCGATTTCGTGCTTGAATACCAAGTTGTACGTGACTGGAGCTACACAGTCATTTGTGAATAAGCTTGATGTTAACGGGAGCCCCAAATGAACACTAGATGAATCGTTTTTTCCACAATACGTGAGGACTCTGAGCCACATGGGAAATCAGGAAACCTAACAACCAACGGGCTAATGAGATCAAAGGAAGAAAACTACTAAAAACAGAAGGCCACTAAATCAAACAATCAAGGGAACAAATTCAGACCACAATGCAGGAAGAAAACAGTCGAATCACAAGAGGACAACCACACACAAAACTGTCGGATTGAATACACCCAACGGACCAATCAGACACAGGAGATTGAGACCAACACAGATTCGCAGTGGACCAATCAAACTATGCGAGGACCGCTGTTTAGAAGCTATATAACCACAGGCAGAAGAGGAGGAATCAACCCACACAATCCCGCACTGACGATGTCACCTCGATTGGTGATGAAAGCTTTGCGATCTAACTGCCAAGCTCGGCGAACAGACCAGCTAGCAACCAGACGTTTTATTCCATAAAATGAGGGCAGTTTGTGTGATGCGGAATTCCGCACGGATCCCACTAGCACTCAGGTGCTGATGCGGCCGAGAAGTCCATCCCACGCAAGATTGGCCGAGAATTCGGGATGCTTGCCGGTCCGGCATCAAGCCGAGATCTGATTGGTCGAAAGTCTGGACCCAACAGCCAATCATGACCCAGTGTTGGCCGGATGCCGGTTGCCAATGGCGCATCCACAATGCGTCAGAATTTGCAGAAAGTTATTGCTACGCTATAAGTATGAAGCGCTATACAACTGTTCCTAACTTCGTTTTGGGCGTTAATATACCTTGTGCACCCTTGGTGGTCGTTTTTGACGTAAACGCTAGCTTCGGAGGCTCAGACCGAGAACTAAGCTGAGAAAAATACCGTTACTACAGTTTGACTGCATTGGTAGACTGGGAGAAACTACCGCTAGCGGATGTAGCACTTCAACTCCTTGTACGGTTGCAAGTATCTTGTCCAAGTAGCTACGAGAAAAAGACATGCAGTGAAGAAAGGACGAGCGAGGATGACGAGTTTATGATTCGCATTTCCCTTGCTTGTATTTTTTACAACGGGTCTCCTATTATTTCAGATTACCGTACTAAAAGAACCTTGCCTTGGCATTATTTTGACACAAGGATGTCATCCAACCGAAACATCACCAGGGAATGAACTATGTCAAATAAACGAAAGCCCAAGGATAAATCATGGACGAATTCCAACCCAACACCTGTTCAATGTAAAATTCGAATAAAATGTAACTGAATCGCATTTATGAAGATGTCAAACTCGACAAAGCTCTCTTGCACTCATTCGAGACAAAATGGAATCGACAATAGTCTGATGAGGAAGTGCAGAGGCATTGGCAGCATCGAGTTCCATAGAAGTGATCCCATATAGCTTGAGGATCCGCTCCTTTCCTTCCAAAAGTGGCGAAAGATCATTGTGTGAAGGTTTACCTTCTATTGTGGAATCTAGCTTGGCAAGAATATTGTCTGGTTCGGTTGGGGATGAATCAGTGGGAACAGGGGTTATGATAACGACCAGAAAATGTTCCGTCGACCGATTGGCACTGAAGGTTTTCAGCGCTTGGTTCAAAGAGCGTGTGGGTGAAAGGCAGTAAACGACTTCCGTTGCCAGTTCACGAGTAATCATGGTGTTAGACGAGACGTGTAAAAGAGCCTGGGTAACCGCACATTCAACCTTGAAGAAATAGGAGCAGAAGAAGGACATGAGTACGAGGGACAACGTGTCAAAAAAAGCTTCCTTTGTTAGAAATGTGGTATGATTTAGTATGATATGCGATAACCAACGAGCCTGACGGACGCCATTAAGACACTACTGAAGTGCATGTGGACTCATTCCAGTCAATGGAAAAGGTCAACAGAAAGCCAACAGAGGGGTAAACTAATGCCTAATGGTTTAGAACTAGAAGAAAGCGCAAGATCATTCAAAAATTATGATAGCATAAACCTGGTGGCCCCAGAATTCATTATCTCCCCGAAATTTTCTTCTTAGACCGACAGACCACTCGGAAAGACAAAATATCGTGCTTCCTTTATCCATCTCATTGGTACCGTGATCTGTTAACAATGCTTTTACGTCATTCCGTCACGGAAGCAAAATATGCGAATCACAAACAGTAGCAGCAGTGTTGAGCAGACACTGATTGGCTGATTTCTGCATACCATCTGATCAACATGCCAGGGTAACTAAATCGCTTGCTTTCGTGCATTTGATTTGTCCAGCAGGACCTCACTTGTCACTAAAACCTTGAGGTTTGTGTTGCGCATCAAGATTCAGAATAACTTCAGTTTGATGCCATATGTCTGACCGACAATAGGCTACGGGTGACGCAGGACTGTGAGTTTACCTCCGACCTGACAGTTGCTGTCCTGAGAATCTTTGGTTCGAGCATTCCGCTAGACGTCTGCCTGTCCTACCACTGTCCGCAGCCCCAGGACTCATAGACCACACCAGACCCAGATACACTAGAAAGCCTGAGTTCACGTTTGTGCAGAGCAAGTCCTCTGATGGTCGGCATCTGTGTATCACATACAGCGTTTTGAGACAACGCTGTCGTCATTCGTCTTCAGTTTCGTCACCGACAGGTTGATTGAAACCCCTGTGCCTGTCTCTAAAACCTCGGGGGTCGAAGTGTTCTTGGCGCGTTCAGTAACAGGCATTGATTACCCGGACGATTTTGCTCTCTTCAACTCAGATCTTCTGAAGATGCAAGCCATTATGTAAATTATAATGCAAACAACGTTGCTGCACGATTTAGCATGCGTTTCATGCCTGCAAACTGTAATGTGTAATGTAGTGAGACCAAACTTAGGCTTCGTTTTTGCAGACCAGCAAATCGATGTACTAGATTCATTTGCTTGTACCGTTGTTTCAATTCCAGTGGGCTGACTGGAGAAGAGATCACATTTCGAATTGACGAGGCCAGGGAAGCCTTCATCAAGTTTTCCCACTGGTGGTACCGGTCTGACGTCAGTTTGCCTGTCAAGAGCAAAAGATACAGCACGCTGGTGCAGCCCATACTGCTGTCTGGGTCAGAAATGTGGCATCTGCGGACAAGTGAAATACGAAGACTTTCAGTATTCG